TTTACAATCGGTGTTTTTTTTGTCACCATCATTAGAATTCAACTTGTATATACGAGTGAAACGTCTTCCGTTCGGTAAATGCGACACAGATGAAACATTTCAACAACAACAACGTTTGATCGATGCGAACCAATGATTTCTTTTGAAAATAGACGGAAATTGGAAATAAATTACAAACACCAATTAGATCAATGGGCCAAGGTGGCAATGGTATAATTATGATATTGACAGGCTTGTCGTGATTTTATTCAATACTTAATTTACAATTTTCATAATTTCCAAAGGAGTCAGGGTGTTAACAAGAAACTTCACCAAATAAAATAGATCACTGCACTAATAAAAATTGCATTGAAAATTATAAAACGAAAATGTTCTATCTAAAACTATTGTCGGTTTCAATACACAAATTCGGTAAAATGTTGAAATTTTGGGAAGATGAATGATTTTTGTCTTTCATGTCGCTATCTATCTTTATTCAGTCGTTGGAGCTGCTGAGATTGTTTTCGTCGTTTTTCCTCCGATTCATCACATTTTCGCTGTAATTCCACAAGATCTCGATGCAAATCAGCATATTTTTGCTTATACACCGCAATTTGTTGCTTCAATTTGATAACAAGACGTTCCAATTTTAGCGTGTAACCTATTATAATGTATAACTATTGTAATAAGTCAGTGTATGCTTGTTTATACCCGACATATTTTTTATAAGTTTTCAAAATTCTTTGCTGCTCTGGAAAAAACGAAGTTTTTTTTTGGTAATATGGAACTATTTCGAAATGATTATTTGAATTTTTGGAAACATAAACTCTCCTTTATTAAAGGCAACATAAGGCCAAAAAGCATTTATTCAAACATGGTAATCGTGATCACTTGATTTAATGCGAGCCATATCTTATCATCACACTGAAAAATGTTTATACTTTAGTTGAAACGATACCAGATTTAAACAATCATTTGACGATTTAAGCATTTTTGAGTTTCAATTATCCCCATTTTTGTACAAGAGTTTGATATTACGCTGATGCTGTTTCTTTGTTTATTTCCAAGTGAATTGGATAATCAAATGATTCAGTTTCTCATATAAATATTGATTTAATTCGGCGAATCTGCAGAATCATTGGATTTATTTTTAAACTAGGGGACGGGAATCATTAGCTAGTTTTTCATATTTCAAGTAAAAACTAGGAAAATTAGAAAAAAAACTAGCAAAAACTAGAAAAATTAGCAAAAATTATTTGATCCGCCATTTTGATATTGTGCCACGATTTGGTAACTAAATCAATTTTACAAGTCGACTATTGACAGAAACAAGTACTTTATGCACGATTTTGTGTTAAAAAAAGAATAATTAAACTAATTTTTACTATTATTAGTGTATAATTATTCAAAAAACATAAAAATATGTCTGAACAACGAAACGTCAAAATACTTCATTGTGTCAGTACAATCATTTGATTGTCATTTGACAGAACAAAAAACTAGAAAACTAGCAATTTCATAAAGGAATATTAGCATTATTAGATTATTCAAGCAATAAACTAGTAAATTAGCTATAAACTATAAAAACGAAACTTTTAAAAACTTTTTAAATGAGGCGCATTTTGACATTATTTTGTTATAACTAAATGGCATATTTTGAAATTAAATTGGATTCCTCTTTCAAACTATGGCATTTTTACAATATAGCGTTCTTTTAAATTTGGATTGTCAAGCGGATAAATGTTATTTGAAAAGAGAAGTCAAATGTAAGGGAAATATTGCACCGAAGAAAAAACACAAGACTTGAACTGTTGCAAAGTAATTTGAAGTTGTTTTATTCCATGCAATTCGAGACATTAATTCAAAAGAATGTTGAATAAGAACAGTTTTCAGAGAACACTTCATCATCATTGCAGCCGTCTAGTAGTTCATCACAAAATATGAGATTAAGAACTGAAAAGTAAGAAAAAATCAATAAAAAGTAGTCAGATCTAATGCAAATGCCACTACAGATGTTGTGAATATTATCAGAAAAGAAAAAGAATCGGACAAATAAAGTCTTAATCATGGATGAATGAAATTGTGGTGCTAATGATTAAAGTTGTTCTGCAATTCTTCACGTTTTTGCTGTAATTCAACGTGCTCTTTCGCCAATTCGGCGATTTTTTGCGGTAAATCACCGTATTCCATATTTTCACGATCCGGGCGTGATTGAAATTCTACGAACTTTTTCTCCATTTCGTCTAGCAACTGATTTTCTTGTTGGTTGAATTTTCGCTTTTCTTCTAGCCACTGATCCGATCCATTGTGTTTGAAAAAAGTCAAAACTTTGATTTTCAAAATGGTTTCAAACCATTGGTTTGTTGAATTGTAGAAAACATGCAACTTTTAATTTTTTTTTTGAAAGTTGAACAACGACTAACTTATATGTGCGATATATGCAGTTTCATAATGCAGAGAAAATATTTAAAAAAAAAAATGAATTAAATATAAAAAATATATGCACCTACAAAATCTGACTCTGCAAAAACAAATATTTCGCTTGCAAGTGATGCAATCCATGTTTCATTATCAGTTAAATGTAATTAATTGAAAATTATTTATACTTAAAATGATGCCAGTTTTAAACGATCATTTCGACATTTCCAATTAGAATTTGTTTATTGTTTTATCAAAACAGTCAAGCAATGTAGAAATCAGTCAAGCATTGAAAACAATCAATTTCGATATTGACAGCGCTCATTTGTTCATTTGTTCATTTGCAAGTAAAGCGTATAATCAAATTTCCCATATACAGTTTATTATTATCAAATGAAAAGAAAATATTTCACTGAAGAATATTAAAAAATAAAAATAAAAACACAAGATTTGAAGCGTTGAATAGTAATTTGAAGTAGTTTTATTCCATGCTATTCGATACATTAACTCAAAAGAATGTTGAATAATTTCTGCGGTTCATCATCTTTGCAGCCATCTGCTTGTCCATCATGAAATATGTGATTAAGGACTGAAAAATAAGAAAAAATCAACAAAAATAAGTCGGATCTAATGCAAATACCACAAAAGATAATGCGAATACTACAAAAAAGAAAGGAAATTGAACGACTAAAGTCATTTTCGAACAAACATGTTCATTTTTTGGTTTCAAAATATTTAAATTACAATTTTAAAACCTCGATGAATGAAATTTTGGTGTTAATAATTAGAGTAGTTTTGGATCAATTCCGCTCGTTTTTTAAGTAATTCATTGTGTTTTTGCTCTAATTCGGCTCGTTTTCGCATTAATTCGTTGTATTGCGTATTTCTATATCCCACGCGCATTGCTTCTACTGAATATCTCGTCATTTCGTTGTGCAACTGTTTTTCTTGTTCGTATAATTGTTGAAATTCATGTTTCCACTGAGATTTTTGATCCTGTTCAGCCATTGTGCTTAAAAAAAAAATCAATACTGAATTTAAAAATGATTTGTTGGATTTTGGAGAAATGTGACTTTTATTTTTTTTCTTTCAAGACTCGATGAAAGTTAAACAACAACTAATTTGTATGTTCTATTTATACCGTCTTAAATAATGCAGAGAAAATATATAAGGATGAAAAAAGAATCAATTAAATACACAAAATATAATGTGATATCACCAAATCTGACTCTGCAGAAAAATATTCGATTGCACATGATGAGGAAATGAGGATCGCATCAGATTCATGTAATTAATTGCACATTATTTATACTTTACTTGAAACGATCGCAGTTTTAAACAATCATTTGACGTTATAAGCATTTTCAATTAGAATGTGTTTATTCTTATAAAAACAGTCAAGTAACATAGAAATCAGTCAAGAGTGTAAAACAATCAATTTCGATACCGACAGCCCTCATTTGTTTCTTTGTGAGCTATCAAATGATTCATTTTCCCATCTCTTATCACTGAAAAATATTCAAAAATAATAATAATAAAAAACACAAGATTTGAACCATTGCAAAGTAATTTGGAGTAGTTTTATTCTAATGTTAATCGATACATTAATTCAAAAGAATGTTGAAAACAGTTCATTATATTTGCAGCCGTCTGGTCATTCATCGTTAAATATGTGGTTAAGAACTGAAATGTAAGAAAAAATCAACAAAATGCGTCAGATCTAATGCAAATACCACAATAGATAATGCGAATATTATCAGAAAAGAAAACAATTCGAACATCT